ATTGAGTTGAGAAGGAGGAAAACCTATGGTCCCAGAGTAAATAAACAGACATTTAATTTGTACTTTATAATTTCAACTTTCCTATTACAAAATAATAAGCTAACATTTGGTTGTAGAAGACTATTAATGAATGAATTTAAGTAGCGAATACGCCTGTTAGCGCTTTATACACGTACATGATACAAGCCGAGCATAAAGCACTGTACAATATTTATAATTTGCCGCAAAGACATTCTAACATCGCCCAACAACTTAGATTGCAATCTAATATTAACGTATGTGATTTCTAGGGTAGCTAATTTCATAGGATGGTTGTCTTTCGTTACGCGAATTAGGAGAAATATTGCGTTACTTAGACATGCGTGTAGCGTGACAGGTAAGAACGTGATTCCTTCGCTTAGCACCTTTGCACTCCTTCAATGATCAACCTCGTTCCCAGGGTCTCTCTTCCCTTGCCCCCAAGAGCGGGGGCGGGGAGACCCTGGGAACGAGGTTTTCAAGGAAAATAAAAAGGCTCCTGTCAGCTGTTCAATTAACCACGACTTACTTTGACAGTAGGCACACTAGGATACACACTTCTTTTTATATAAGAACCTTTTCATAGTCCAAGAACGCTGAGGCTGATGTACAGAATTAATCTTTATTCAAGCCGGAACCAACATTTCTGTGTAATACTACTTTGTTTTTATTATGAACATTTTCAGACTCAAATCGTGGAAAAATTAAAAGAACGTTTAGCCTCAGTCCAAAATATTGACGTTCTTATATAAAAAGAGTGTATATTTAAATCTTGGGCTCCGTCCACACTGATGCGTTTTCGTTCAAAACGCATACTTTTGGGTGTGTTTCGCCTATCGTACCCTACGATTGTAAACGCTGAGCGTTTTCATTGCAAACGCATACATTTGAAAACGCTGTCCAGAGTAGAGACATTTGAAAACGGAGCCAAACGAAAACGCATCAATGTCGACGGGGAAAACGCTGCGAAAACAATAGTGTAGCCGTTTTTGGTAAAAAACGGAGCGTTTCGAAAACGGAGCCAAACGAAAACGCATTAGTGTGGACAGGGCCTTACTTCAAAGCGAGGGTAATAGAGTACTCTGCAATGGAAATTTCTATAAATTTTCGTTTTTCATTTCCTTTGTCTAAGTCCTCTAACCCTCGATATCATGTGCCCATACTGTCAGGCATTTCTTCACCTAATTTGTCTGGATTCATCTAGACTAACTACACATTTCTTATCAAAAATTATATAAATAGCACAATTCACAACGATACTATTTGCGGTGACCATGTCACCTAACGCGGCACATTGGCCTTCGGTCATCAGTATTAATAACACGACTGAATTACAGCAAGGAGCCCAGTATCCAATCAGAAGCCGAGGATAGCTATCCTCGGCTTCTGATTGGATAGTACGCACACGCGAAAGAATGTGAACTAATTAAAAGTGGTCACACTTTTGGGCTCACAACAGTCCCTTTCCTGTAAGAAAACAGAGGGGAAGTTCAGCGTAAGGCAAGTTACAGACTACATATTTTGTCATAAATTATACTTCTCTTCGGCTTTAGTCGATTCTCTGTGCTGAATCTCTCCTTAACCCTTTCACTACCAGGAGTGCTAGTTCAAAACTGAGAACAAAATCTTGAATTTCATTTTGCAAAATTGTCAAAAACAAACAGCACCACTTGAAAATACTGCTCAATAGCTTTCAATTGAATGGTCGCACACTAGGGTTTCATCCACAGACTCCAAAAGTACAACCACATTTATCGATTCAGGGGTGAAAGGGTTATAATACTGTTCATACACCTTTAACCTCTTGTATCATGAAGTAAGAAGCGAAAACACGCGAGAAAAAATTAGCCACGCAGTCATTTTTCATCCGTGTTCTTTGCTTCATGCTCGATGATACAAAAGGGAGAATAGCTACTACTTAAGTCTAACATAAGAATCGTTCTTCGCGATTATAAACCGCGAAGTTTTGATTACAAAATGTCCTTCTGTCGTCATATCGTTCTGGAACTTGAGTCTTGGTCTTGCGCCGAACATACAACAATTACAATATTGTCTAAAATTTTCCTCGTAAGTCAGTTCACAACCTCGTTCCCAGGGTCTCTCATCTTCCCGCCCCCTGGAGCGAGAAGATGAGAGACCCTGGGAACGAGGTTGGTCAGTTCATTTCACTGTTCACTTCATCGTTGATTTGTTTGCGGCGATTCCCGCTGATCATGTCCATTTTTGCGTCGTCGTTGATCCACGACAATTCAACTCGGGATGTCTTCTTCGATTATCCGCTCGAGAAAGGCGACATTCGTGATTTGGTTATCGAGTTCCATTGAAGATTATTTTAGTTCGGGGGCTCCGTATCTTTGATGACGTCAACGTAATTCGACGGAAAGTAACCAACCTGTAATGGAGACAAGAGCTTAATATTGGAACTAGTAGTAAGTTTTTTGTGATGTTCATAATTATCTTCAAATCGAAAGAAACCACAAAATAATACTTTACCGAGGTAGAGGAACACCAAAGAGGTGATAATAAACCAAAAAGAAACAAGGATGGTTAAGGATGGAGGAAGATTGAGATGGATTACGAACGATGAACTTTACGAATTTAAGCGAATATTTTTCGCAAGATGCCCCATCCGTGACGTAGCTCCTTTACGTGCTACAGTATAGCCTAGAAAAACAGACGCCTCATTTCCTTCACTCCCGAGAAAGTCGTCAGAGAATTGTTTACTTCAACTACAAAGTTCTGTGTAGTGTCTGATTGGTTTGAGAAACAACCAATCAGAGACGTGTCTTGTTACTTAGCAACATCCCAGCCCGAAAACTGCGGGCTCAGTAAATTGTCAGCGAAAAAGGAACTAACTGCGTGGTATGAAAGTTCATTGGAAGAGCATATTTATAAGTATACAACCAACCTGGCCATCGCATTCTCCTTTCCACCAATCACCTTCTTTGTTGAGTATGAGGATTTTGGAATGTTTCTACGAAAGAAGCCAAGTGAGTCAGTAGTATCAGCCTGTTCAGCTCAGCTTATGTCGACAAAACGAGGAAAGGCACCTTCACTTGAAAACTAGAACGACATCGAGACATCAAAAAATGAGTGTAGCCATGAGTTCCGTTCAACTCCTGCTTCCTTGGGCTGAAAAATGGTTTCTTTATCTTCCTTATTTCCCTTTGACCATCGAGCGAGCCTATCGAGCGAGAAGCAAAATAAAGCCATTTTTGCCTTTCACTTTATTTTTCTTCTCGCTTCTCGATGCACAATGTAAATTATCGTGAAGATTCATAATTACCTGAATTGAGATTTCTTTTGGGTTCCTCGCAGAATACGGGTACAAGGCTTTGGCCCAGCCGATTCCATCTACAAGTGATAGTTAGAGTACTTAGTAAATCATAACTTGAAGTAAATGTGATTCATGAAAATGAATGTACTAAGTATGTATGTTCTTATTTGGTTGTGACGACCCCAAAAACGGTTGCGAAGGAAACTACCGGGTCTACCGCTATGGGTAATCTATTGTAAAATGCCCCAAGAAAGAAAAGGAGCACCGCCAAGGGAACACGAAAATGCCTCCCGTCCATCTGATACGCGTTTTGTGGCAAATTTTCGTGATGCAAACAAGGCGTTTCCCATTCCAATTTTCCAATCTTGACACAGCGCGAAAGCTTGCGAGCACTCCGATACCGTTGTCAAGGCAACCGTTCATGAGCAACCCTCCCTGACAAAAACTGCAGGTTCAGTCAATGGTCAGAAGTGGGATTTGGATTTCGCATTAATTTTTATCTCCAAACGAATAAATCCGCAGTGCCTGAAGACTACCACTAAACGTAACAAGCAGAAAGCAATGTGTTTTACCTCTGCCTTTCTGTTCTTCATTGATACCGTGCCGTAGTTTTTGTGTCCAGTCCTGGAAACTCACGCCCAAAGTGTTGGCTTTGTAGTACTCAACTAGATCCTAAAGTTAGAAAGTAATGTTTCGCTTACGTGTTTGTCTGTTGCAGCCTCGTCCTCCAGGTCTTTCAGGCGTTATAATCCAAACTGGGAATGTGTCCGCCATCTTGCATGATTTCAACGTTTGAAAGATTTTGGGACGAGGTTGTGTCTGTATACTACTCGGTGGGGAGGGGAGGGGAGGGGGAAGAAGGGGAGCCGAAAGGGGGAGGGGAGAGTACCTTGAGGGTATCGATATTTAGGGATGCGCTCACAACCGTGGAAACCTGGGATATTTCCATAACAAAGTTAGCTTGTAACAGACCCCTATCTTTGCGTGAGCTGTAGAGAGTACACACAGGCTCCTAAAATAGGCCTGGATAGAGTGTGAATGTGTGGGGAGGGACTGGGCAGAGACGCGACCTTTAGAAGTTCCTACAAATACACTGTTTTCGCAGTCTTATTTTATAGCAGTGGTCTACCTCGTTCGGGGACTGAGAGTCCAAACATTTGTAAGAAAGGACAAGGTCTTGGCACAGTATTTCCTTTCGTTGGATCATCATCTATCCTAGGCAGTACCTAGGTGGCACATGTCAGGGCTATATTTTAAAGGTGTTTTACACATACCTGTACTGAAGGAAAGGATAATGCTTTTGTTAAGTAGAAAGCTGCGTCTTCGTATGGTATTTTGATGTGTTTTACGTCATTGCGAAATCTGTCGGAAAAAATGAATGATATTAGCCTTTCGCAGGTTATCCTCAGCAACGTTGTCAGGTTACCCTGACAATTCGCTAGTGTTCATAATCATTTATACTCCTGGGTGGAGAGAGGCACTGTGAGAGTAAATTGCCTTGCCTAAGATCACACAACACGATAATGCCAGCTAGCGCTCGAACCCAGACCGCTCGATCCAGAGTCCAACGCGCCAACCAGTAGGCACGCCACGACCAGGAAGTCGACATATTATTCATTACAAACTAAACTCGACGTTGCTGATCCTAGCAGTATGTAGGACGCGTGTCACATATGAACCTAGTAAATGGCCAAGCTCGCCACCAGTCCTCCCTGTAGCTCAGTGGTTTGAGCATCCAACAGGTGTGCGGAAGGTCATGGGTTCGACTCCCGTCGAGGACACACAGGTTTGTTAGATTGTCCGTAAGGAGAATTATCACAATACTGATTCAGTCGGGGGCACAATTGTCGTTTCTTTCTCGTGAGCGTTCCGAAGAATTTCCGATTCTCATTACCCAATCAGAAAATTGCACCAGCATTCCGATAGCAGCTGGTCGTCAGGTTACCCAGCAACGGCTCCTGGCAACATCCCAACTGAGCCACAGCTGCGTTTGTCGGAGACGAAAGTTAATCTAAAGCTCTGCGTTTAAAACCAAATCGCAAGGACAGGACAGGTTATACTGCTAAAGCTACGCATAGGGACAGCTTATTTGTTTCTTACTTGACAGATAAGGCATATTCTCCTGATCTGTTAACACTTTCCCTTATCAGAAAAGTACCGTCGCTTTTGTTATTCAATTCTTGTGTTGCAACGGTCTGTCCTTCTTTCCTGCAAACCTGGTAATGTAACAGAAATAAATACAATTTAATCAGCTGATCATAGCTGGTTGGTCTTTTGAAGAACTGACGGCGTGGAATAATGATTGTAATCATTTTCTAAGACAATAACTACAAAGCACTTAGCCAATACATGAAGCGCAGGGGTAAAAATATTGCACGATACATGTACAAGCATCACGTCACGTCATGTAACACAATGCAAACTATCTAATGACACGTGACAGTATTTTAGTTATTGATAAACTCGTGGCCCTAGCTAAGTTAAGAATACAGAAACACTAGACTTCATCTTCTTCATCACCGTCATCGCCATTTCTCTTGGCGCTCCCTTTCGGCGCTTTGCGCTCGTTTTCCTGCATCCGGCTTCCCTCTCTACGCAGGCTACAATTTTCTCTGCAAGTTACAAGCAACTAAGGTGCAAAAGTGAGATCCCTTACCAGTTGAAAGTTCTTAAGGAAACGTTCAAATTTGACGGCGGCGGAGTCGAATGAACTCTAAGAAAGAAGAGATAGAAGTTATACGAATGTTTATTATACGACATGGCATTTTAGAGTACGAATACGCACAAAGACGAGAGCAAATATGAGACCATATTACTGCATTGCTTAACGGATTTCAGGCCAAAAAAGTTCTTTCAGTTCTAAAAGTGCAATACAGGGCTCGTATGGGATTGACCTCGAGCAGCCTGTAATAGGATCTCAATGACATAGAACGAGCATCGGACATAACGGTATAAACACAAGAACGACGAAAAAACACAACCGAGGGGGAGAGACGACATAGAGCTCGGGCAGACAAGTGTCCAATACTCCAGCGTTTTTCAATTTCAGAGACGCATGGGGACAAGGCTGGACAGTTGCTTTCCTTTTCCCTGTGCAACTGTCATTCACGTGTCGTGATTGGTTTATTTATTTCCACCTGTTTCCTCAACAAAAGATAACTGTTATTAACATTAGAGCGGTTTTCAATTGAGTGTCGAAAGTAAACATACGTTTGCTTTGGTTTTGCTTTACTACGCTCTCTGATTGGTTTGAAAAAATCGCGCCACTTTCTTAACCAATCAGATGCCAAACTAAAGCCAATCGCCAATCGCGTTTTCCCGCGCTTGGCGCAGGTTTGCATGTATTTGCTTTGAGTTCTGATTGGTTCCTTGTGTTGTTTTCGTCTGTTGTGATTGGCCAGAGTGATTACTTTGGTTTTGGTTTTACTACACTCAACTGAAAACCGCTCTATTAGTATACACAACACAGTCATCACTCACTCCTCTTTTATCGTCGTTTCTTCGTAGCGTGATGTTGCTTTCAATGTCTACAACAAGAATAGAATACACGTGAATCCATGCGAACAAGTGTAATACAACATGCATGATAAAAGGCTCGTTTTAATTGGCTCGTGTCCGTGATCTATCGAATGCACGGGCCGACAGGTATTGCGTCGCGGAGGCGCAGATTCATAAAAAAAAAACATTTGAACGTTACAGCTCCAAAGAGTATATTCCACAAGCAAATTAATTAAACTTTTGACTCCAACGAAAAAGGACGATACTAAAACACCCACCCAGTTGTCCCTTCACACGGCTCGGATGACCAAGTTTTTGTTGTTGTTGTTGTTGTTTTTTTTGGGGGGAGGGGAGGGGCAAGAGAACCATTGAAGACGTGACAAGCCAGGTGAGAAGAGATCGTAAATGGACTGACACAGGGGCAACCAACAGTTCTGTTCAAACGTATATGTTCCGCGAAAACCGCTTTGATTGACTGTTTGTTTTTCTTTTGTATGTCCCGTTTGAAGATCTGTTAAGGTGGCCCAATGACGGATCTTTTTGGGAAAATTTCACCAAATTTTTTCATCCACCTACCACGTGGATTTGAGGGAAATACCCAACTGCTCCAGTCCTCTTCGACCGTCCCTGTTAGAGAGGAGAATAAAGTGGGAAAAGTAAGAAAAACTCCAAAGATAAAACAAATACCACATCACCATACAGCAAAAACATCACTCAGCTGTTAAACATTCACTTGCGCTTTTGACGAGCATAACACGAACACAAGCATGAACACAAGCACAGAAAATAAAGTTAAAGGGAAAATGTTGATCCTTCACGTTTGCGCTTGCGTCGAGACTATTTTTCACTGTGAAATAAGGACTCTTGCCATTGGGTCGGTCATGAAAACCAAACTACAAAGAAATGGCCAGGATTTGCCTAGTTCCTGTATGGCTTTTTTCCAGGCCTTGATCGCGGCGAATCCGTTTCGGTGACGTCTCCAAGTGACCCGAAACGGATTGACCGCGGCGATAAAAAGAGGCCTAGGAACTAGGCAAGATCAGGACCACACACAGGCGAGGAATGTGTTAGGTAGCTTAGCGTGTAAACCGTGCCTTGACATGTTATCCGTGAGATGACGCATTCCTCGAGCACGCAAAGAGCAGGACTGTTCTATTCACCTCTATAACAATCTCGTTCCCAGAGTCCTCGTTACCCTTGTCCAGCGGTGGAGCGGCCAACAAGGACCTCTGCGGGGAAGCGATCCGCCATGACCGGATTCTTGGACTTCCGGCTCTACTGCGCATGTGTTCGACCCCATGTTTCAACTAACGGACGTTAAGATTCTTTGACTTCCGGTCTTACTGCGCAAGTCAGGCAGAATCGCTTCCCCCCCAGAGATCCTTGTTGGCCGCTCCACCGCTGGACAAGGGTAACGAGGACTCTGGGAACGAGATTGCCGCTATACATTATACTCCAAGAAGAATATGCACGGTCCAACTTACTCACCTCCCACCACTCAGGATCATTCTTATTAATTACTTCAATATCATCTCCAACTACAAAACTTAACACTGGGCGGCCACCAGGCGCAATTCCAGCAAAGCTGTCAGTTTAGAAAAAAACAATAGTAATTATTAGAGATTGCAACTCGCTTCCTTTCATGGTAGGTCTGAGTACAACCTCGTCCCCAGGGCCATCTCCGCTTTCAAGATGGCGGATGGGGCGCGAAGAAGACCCTGGCGATTGTTTTAAAATGGCGGCGGGCTGACGCTCGCGATTGGCTAATTTGTGGTCACGTGATCTGCTGTTCGCCAGGGTCTTCTACGCGCCGCCATTTTGAATTCCGACTCTGGGACGAGGTTGCTCTGCAGCCGTTATTTGGGTTGTCATGCAACACTTCTCCTCCACTTGGAACGTTGCGTGACTTTCCAAATAACGGCTGTGAAGGATAAAATAAAATTTCAAAACAGACAACACTTACTTTGAAGTCGCTACGTAAAGAGTTTTGACTTGTAGTTCCTGCAAAGACAAAACCAAAATGAGCAAAGGAACAGCATAAAAACATAGGAAAGAAACACTGAATGTACATGCAGCCACTTTTATTCATACGCATACGCAGTAACGTGTTGATTTGTCGTAAACAAAAGGCACAGATGATCAACGCATTACTGCGTCTGCGTATGTTGCTTGCGCTTGTGCTTGCGTTGCTAGTGAAAACCAGGCTTTTAAGGAAGCAAGATCATTAGTGCCGTTTGTTAGGACAAATGCTGCTAATGATCAACACGTTACTGTGTCTGCGTATGTTGATTGCGCTTATGCTTGCGTCGTAAGTGTCAACCAGGCTTTAAAACGCATATTTTTTACCTTGTCGAATTCTCGCTGGCGCCGAGACTTTTCTATGTTTAGCTAAGTCCGGGCTGAGGTTCGGAGGCAAGGGCGACGAAGGTTGTTTAGAGAAGGGATTTCTGGGAGTCACAACAGGACGAAACGGCGATGTACCAGAGAACTGACCGTGGATCCCAGGACTCGCTCGACAGTCGCGGCTCTTGGGTATGCAGTCCTTATGAGCAGTGGCGTCACAAACTGAGGGTGAAAGAAAGCGAGAATCTCACAGTTTAGACACAGAAAATCGAATGAACCGTATTTCATTTGTTGTTTATTGGTAGACGGTCGCATTGGAGTCCGTACTAGTTTGAAAATAAAGCTATTTTTATTCGTTTTACCATTAGATATTTACCAATGGCTTTATGCTATTGACGACCACTGAGTACTCAGTAGATTCTTGAAACAGCGGTCGTATTTTGGCGGGAAAGTTTGAGCGCCGCATACGCGTCACGAGACTCGCTATATAGCTAGTTTTCTACACTGCTACCAAAAGTGAAAACAACTGAAAACAATCACAAAGCAGTACAGTCCAAACAAGCGAACTTCAACAGTTTGTTTTAGCAACAAACTGAAGCCATTGGGGTAAAAAAACAAATGGAAACAATGGTGAGGTAATATAATTATTCTAAAGTAGATGTTATTTCAGAAGCAAAGACGACTATATCCGCAAATTTCAAACCAAAATGATCGAAGGAAAACATTTGGCTGCAAAAGAGGGCTGCTGTTGCGTATTTGGCAATTGTTTATTATTAAATTTATGGAATAATACATTTAAGAACTCTAACGCTAACGTTTTCATTCATTCACTCATCTAAATAAGCAATTTCTTCAAGCCAGAAAAAGGCAATTAATTTCGTAGTATTCGTACATTGCAGCAAGGAATAGCGAATTAAACTCACTTGCACACTTGTATCCT